CCGGCCGAGGAGGCTGCGCATGCGCGAGCAGGATGTTGCCGGGCGCCCTAGAACACCCTACGGGAGAAAAGTGAACTGGTCCCCAGGCGCAAGGCTCATTTGCATTGTGTGCCCCGCCCCTTCCACGCGAAAGTAGGAACGCAGATTCAGAAAAAGGCGTTCTGTGAGTTTTTAAGACGGTCCCGGGGAGGGGTGGGTGGTGCAAATGAGGCATTTCACATAGAAAAGTCCACCTCGAGGAGCAGAAAGTGCCAAGGAACGGCTAGTGGCTGGACTGTTGGTATTTGGTATTTGCATAGGCAGCTCCACCACACAATCCAAAAGGATATTGAGAAATGACGGCGCAGTTGGAAAGTGTATGTAAATTCCTACGTCAGTAATTTACATAAGCACTTAAAAAAAATAACGGTGAGTACGGGATGTCCCTAGAGAAGCCAAGTCAGGTAGAACAAATGAGCAAATATGTACTATTTGCATGACCCTCTCCACGCTGCTTCCTCGGGGCAACGTGGGAGCCAGATTAAAGCAACCTGGGACAGCCTCGTAGAGTAGAGTAGACATTTGCAAAACAGGACTCCTCTGTAGTAGTCCAGGCAGATTTTTGTTGTTTATGCTGTACTGGGAACTGAATCCAGAGCTTCGCATATAAAATGCAACAGCTCCACTACTAAGCTACGCATAACATTGATGCCACCGTTCCTGGGAGGGCTATGTGGATAGGGTTACTTGAATGTCCCACCCCTTCCACAAATTCTTGGGCCTACCAGGCGAGCAATCAATGCCTTGCTGACATTTTGGGAGAGCAGCTGAAGCTGTCCTGAGGGGGCTGCACCTGTCTCCAAATGCCCGTATAAAGATTTCAGGGCACAAGGAGATACACATCAACACCAAGTATGGCCAGGAGTCCAGGTTGCTCGAAAAAAAAAAATCACAGTGGCACACAGAGGTTTATGTTCTCTGTCTGTCTGTCTGTCTGTCTGTCTCTCTCTCTCTCACACACACACACACACACACACACGAAGAAACAGGTCTACGCTGGAGCACACACAAATCTTAGGAGCACATGTTCTCAGGAACAGAATGAGTCACTGTCCTAGCTTGCACACATGAGACATACAGGAGTTGAACCAGGCCCAGAATCGAGGTCCCCTTATAGTCCCCAATTCCTTGGTCTTGTTGCACACAATGAAGCCTCACAACACAATCACCAGGACAGAGACCACTCATGTATCACATATCCCTACTGACACTGCCCCATACATGAATCCTGGAAAGACTCACACACAGGGATGTCATTGCTGCACACACCAGCTTCAATCGATCATGTGCTGCCATGAAGTATATATACAAGCTAGGCATGGACACTTATAACCTCAGCACATGGGAGGTTAAGGCAGGGAGACTTCAAATTCTAGGGTAGTCTGGGCTATAACAAGGCCCTATGTCCAAAAAAAGGGGGGGGGGTTATAGGAAAAACCAAAAAAGGACAGACATAACTCTGGCCTCAATGAGTGTGTACCCCAATACATTCACAAATCAAGTCCCACCAGAAACATGACTCTCTCAAACAGAGACCCACTCAGATTACTTCCATCAAGGACCTCTTCGGTCTCCTCATCTCAGAATGACAGAGGCCAAAACACAGGTGTAAACAATGCTTTATGGAGGGCTGGAACAGGATGGAGCAGGCCTCCAGGTAATAAATAACACAGACTTGCAACAGCAGAGCCAGGCAGGAAGGTGGGGCCGAATGGCCCTGGTCTCAAGCTCTGGGAGTTCTTCAGGATATGGTTAGGGGTTCAGGGGGAATAGAGTTAGCCAAGTCAGAGGAAACAGCAGCAGGTGTGGGTTCCCCCTTCCCCTGTGGCTCAATTTTGCCCCAAAGCCAGGCCCCACCAGGCCCGGGAAGGGGGGGGGGGGGGGAATGGAAGATAGGGTAGCTTTTCTGGGGCCAGGGCAGATTGGGGCCTATCCTCTTAGGGCCTGGTTTTGGGCCCCAGCCTTCGGGTAGGGCTGGTCCAGGAGAACAGGTGAGCTGAAAGAGAAGGGTTTTATGACCTGGAGGGGTCCTGAGTCTGTCTAGCTAGAATCGCTTGTCTCATTACTAGGTATCTTTGTGACCTGTGTCTGCCTGTACCCTTTTGTCTCTCAGTCTGTGCACTGACTTTGTGGCCTCTCTGCAGGATGTTGGGGTCTCATACACCTCAGATGCTGTGTGCATCTGTAAAGGGGCATTTCAGTAACGACCTACCACCACCCTAGCCAGGTGGTGCTTCACACATATAATCCCGGTACTGAGAGGTACAGGCAGGAGGATGGTGAGTTTGAGGCCAACCTGAGCTACATCGTGAGATTCTGTCTCAAAAACACAAAACATGACGGGCAGTGGTGGTACATGCCTTCCAGCACTAGGGAGGCAGAGACAGGCAGATCTGTGAGTTCGAGGCTAGCCTGTCTACAGCATGAGTCCCATGACAGTAAGGGCTACCCAGAGAAATCCTGTCTCCAAAAAACAAACAAACAAAAACCAAAAAACAGAAACAAAAGAACAAAAATCCCCAACACAAATCATAAACTCAATATATGTCCCCACCTTTGTAAATGTCTATGTCCCTTTTTATCCCTAATGGTCCAGACTAAGCCTCATTCCAATGCTTTTCAAACTGGAGAGATAGGATAGATGAGTGGTCATGACTTTGACTGTTTACAGCATTACCTAAGATTCTCTAGAAATTATCTTATGTAAATTCCGGCATCAGGATGTTGTAAACCTTCCTGCCTTATTCTAATGTGCGCTATTTCCAGTTTGTCTAAATGAAGTAAAATCAGAGGGTGTGGTGGTTCACACCTATAATCCCAGCACCCAGAAAGTAAATTAGAGGCCTCAAGTTTTAAGTCTGTGCTATGAATTCTCAAAAGAAGAAGGAGAAGGAGAAGGAAAGAAAGAAATTATAGCTCAGCTGGTATTGCTTGCCTAGCCTGCATGTGGCCCTGGGTTCTATCCTCAGCACCTCATAAATGCAATGGGATACTTTAATTCCAGCACTTGGGAGGTAAAAGTCAAAGGGTCTGAAGTTCGAGTTTACCCTTGACTACTACTACATAGCTACATAGTTAAGTCTAAGGCCAGCCTGGGCTATATGTCTGAGTTAAAAAAGAAAGGAAAAGAAAGAGGAAAGGGTATATGGAGATGATATATTTTTCTTATAACATTTTTAGAAAAAAGGAAATAGCAGGCCAGAGATGGCTGTACACTTTTGACCCCAGCACTTGGGAGGCAGGAGCGAGTGGAGTTCAAAGCCAGCCTGGTCTACAGAGTGGGTTCCAGGACAGCCAGGGCAATGTAGAGAGACCCTGCCTCAAAAATAATAAAAGATTTATTGGTAACCAGGCATGATGGTACAAACTTGGAATCTTAGCACTTAAAAGGCTAAGGCAACCAAAAACAAAAACAAAAAACAAGGTAGCCGAGTGGTGGTGGCACATGCCTTTGATCCCAGCATTTAAGAGATAGAGGCTAAAGCAAGAGGACTGATATACGTTTGGAGCTATCCTAGGGTACATAGGAAGTTCCAGATTAGCGTGAGATACACAGCAAGACCCCTCCCCGCAAAAAAAAAAAAAAAAAAAACACATCAAAGGGGGTCCGAAAAAGTACAAAAAAATTGAGTTTCTCTATAGATATGATTATGTTAGCTAAATATATGACACACTGGTTACATGTGTGAGGGCAAGCTGGGAAAGACTTGGATAATTTCTGGCATACCTATCTATCTCCACACAGCTAGATGTTTCTTTTACTTTGTTCTGTGGTGCTGTGGACTACACCCAAGAAGGCCACCTACATGTGAGGTGAGCTCCCTACTACTGAGTTACACAGTCAGCACACATACCCTCCCAGAGCCTTTAAGATGGGTAAGAAAAAGATCAGTGAACAGCCTTGTGGATCAAGCTCTTAGCAAATGCTAGGCTCTGCTCTCCTCCACACCCATGAGGGACTAGGACTGACTCCATTCTGCAGACTCAGGGTTAGGAGACAGGCTCAGACCAGCAGTGCAAAGACCGGGAAGGAAGAACTCTGTCCAAGGGGCTCACCCTGGTCTCTTTCAAATCCCACAGGCATTCCAGTAAAACCAAGCTGGTCTGGGCTGGAGAGGTGGCTCAACAGTTAAGAGCACTGGCTGCTCTTCCAGAAAACCCAGGTTCAATTCCCAGCACCCACAGGGCAGCTCAGAGCTGTCTGCAACTCAGTTCCAGGGGATCTGACACTCTCACACAGACATACGTGCAGGTAAAACACCAGTGCACATAAAAGAAAACCATGCTGGCTCTACCTGAGAAACAGATCCAAACCTAAGGATTTTTTTTTTCCCCCAGAGCCATCCTACACTTGCCAGTGGCGGGGAGGAGAAGGAGCTGGGCTTTCTGAAGTACAGAGAGAGAC